CTGATATGGTCCATATCTCTGTTATAGCATTCAGCATACTGAGCTCAGACATTACCTGTCTTCTCTATCGTCAAAGCAAAAACTGCCCTTGACAAAGTTGAAAAAGTTGTTCCTGATTCTTGCCAAATGTATGTGACCCCGTAACAGAGGACCACGCACGGTACCGACGCTCAGAAAAGCCCGCCGCCCTGGGCGCCGTAGGAGCCCGTAAGCTCTGCGGGCCTGTAGGAGGCGCCCTGGAGGCAACTCCTCGGGGTCCTCCTGGCCAAGCTGGGAAGTGGGAAGGGGCAGAGAAGGTCCAAACAGGCTCTTCCGCTTGCAGCAGATAAACCCTCTCGTCCTCCTGCTCAGTCCCCAGAGGCAGGGCTTAGAGGAGTTTCTAGATGCTGAGGGTGCTGTGGATTTCTGTGGCCCCAGGAGTCTCTGAATTCAAGATCAGCCTCTGCAGTGAGAGCCCCACTCTGTCTTTCCGTCCGCTGTGGGAGCGGCAGTACTGCTACAAAGTCAGATTCGGGCTTTAAGGTGAAAATAAATCTTTTCTATTTTTTAACTGAAGTATAATTGGTGGACTATATTGCATTAGTTTCAGGTGTACAACATGGTGATTCAAAATTTTTATACGTTATACTCCATTTATAATTATTAGAAAATATTGGCTGTGTTTCCTATATGTTTTGAATGGTTAAAATGAAAATGTAGGAGAGAATTTAAAAACAAATGAACAACAATAAAGCTCTGATGAAGTGGAACCCGCAGCGTCCTTGACCTGCCTGCGCGTGCCCGGGGGCCCGCGGTGCGCTGGGAGTCGCACCCACGCGGACCCCTCCGGTCCGTGTCCCAGCTCCTCCCTGCCGCTCGGTCTCATCGCTTTTGCTTTCTTCAGGGAGCCCTCTTCTCTGTTTCCTCAGCCACTACCTCTCCCCCTTTGCCTGGTTAGCTTCTCTAGATCTTTCACATCTGTTTAAACTTCGCTTTCTTTGTATACCTTGCTTGATCTTTCTGACCAGGTCAACCCTCTGTTATAGACACTCTCTCTCCAAACACTTCCGGTTACCACTCTATGTTTCTTCGTGTGGTTTTCTCGATCAGCACACGGTAAGCGCTGTGGTGGTGGAGACTTGTTCTCCGTAACTCCCCTTCGTTCCCCAGCACCACCCACAGCACTTGTCACAGGGCTGTGTGCTTAACAAATACAGCTCATCATCTGTTGAATGAGTGAGTGAATAAACCTGTTGATTTCATTCGCCTGGTCTCCCTTCGATTTGGCTTTCTCAAAACAGTTAACAGTTTGAAAAAGCCTCCTGATAAAGAATGCTGCTCTGTTGTTTTAACTCCATAGGTAGGAAGGGATCATGTTCATCTAGGGCACCAATAAAATGAAGGTCAGGCAGTTCAGTTCAGTCACTCAGTCATGTCTGACTCTTTGCGACCCCATGGACTGCAGCATGCTAGGCCTCCCTGTCCATCACCAACTCCTGAAGTTTACTCAAACTCATGTCCATTGAGTCAGTGATGCCATCCAACCATCTCATCCTCTGTAGTCCCCTTCTCCTTCCGCCTTCAATCATTCCCAGCATCAGGGTCTTTTCAAATGAGGATTCAAATGAGCTCTTCACATCAGGTGGCCAAAGAATTGGAGTTTCAGCTTCAGCATCAGGCCTTACAATGAACACCCAGGACTGATCTTCTTTAGGATGGACTGGTTGGATCTCCTTGCTGTCCAAGGGACTCTCAAGAGTCTTCTCCAACACCACAGTTCAAAAGCATCAATTCTTCGGCTCTCGGCTTTCTTTATAGTCTAACTCTCACATCCATACATGACCACTGGAAAAACCATAGCTTTGACTAGACAGACCTTTACTGGCAAAGTGATGCCTCTGCTTTTTAATACACTGTCTAGGTTTGTCATAGATTTTCTTCCAAGGAGCAAGTGTGTTTTAATGTCATGGCTGCAGTCACCATCTGCAGTGATTTTGGAGCCCCAAAGAAAAAAGGTACAGTCAGTCACCCAAATTATCCCTCTATTTTTCTCTTAGGACTTTAGGAGAAGAAAAACTTAGCATCAGTCAATATGTTACAGGCTATATCTAATCCTGCTTACTTTAGAACCATTTCTAGTTACAGTGATTTTATTTACTAAAATGAATTCATTCCAATCTTTATATGTACCTTCAATCTCTAGATATGGGACTGTCAGGTGTCCTGGGAGTTCTGTAGCATTTAGTGTTTAATAAGCAATATCATGAATGATGGCAAACTTTAGGAAGTAGCAGAAAACTTGAATCTACTTAGAAGACAGCCAGGAAAATCAATAAATGATTATTAACTATTTATGAAAAGATTCTAAATCATTTAAAATACATGTAAAAAACTGTAGTACACCTTGAATGTTTTTATTCCCCTGCCCCTGCATTTTGCTTGTTTATTTGTTTGTTTTGGCAATGAGATAAGAAAATATAGGAAGGACATCCAGGAGTGTCTGTATGAATAGCATTAAAAGGTGGACTGGTTGATACCTTTTCTTGAACTGAATTGGAAGTAGTCAACTATTTCTGACTCTTAAGAAAATCATAAATATTTAGCATTACCCTCAAGGACATTTGATACATAGGAGACTTGAAACACTGGTGTGCCAGAGACTGAAACTTATTCTAGAAAAGCTTTTGGCACTTGGAAAGGGTTCACATCAATTACAAGAATGTATTCTGCTGGCTCTGAAGTCACAGTTCTATTAACTAGTGATCAAAAATATTTAAAGGTTACTGTGTATTAATATCTAATTGTATCTAGGTATTTAGGTTGATTGCATCCAAATTTTATATTATGATAGTGAATATAATAAATCCATTTTAAAGTTTCTAAGAGAAATTTGTTATGGAGGACAAACACATTCTATATTCCTTTTGTCTCAGTCAACCTCACTGTGCGAAGTCTGCTTTTCATCCCACCAGTTTGCTCATCTTGCAGCATCATGCCTCACAAGGAAGGAAATTGCCTCTGGAAAGTAAGGGTGCCCTCAGCGCTGGGAAGGGAGGTCAGATATTGCCACATCAGGTGAAACAAACAAACAAGAACCCTGTAACATGGTTTCAAAAAGGACTTTCTTTCATAGTGTTCACTTCTTTTGGGTCCTTTGGCTTGGAAGCTACAAGGATCAAAGTCAGGGAAAGCCGTTGAGACAGCCTGCTGGCCTCCCTAGGGCACAGGCTGGGCGTGGATCCCCCGGAGCCGGGGATGGGTACCTGTGGGTGGCAGGTGCGGTGGCTCTCCAGGAGGGGTCCTGTACCAGGTACACAGGGTGGGCGACTGTCCTCTTTTCTTGCCTGGACTCTCAACAACTCTCCCTTCACAGCGTCTGAAACCCAGATTAAACCTGGAAATTAGCTAGTGCAATTCATTTACTAGAGGTAAAAACCAAGACCCAGAAAATATGAGACTCTCAGCATCTCTCGTGTATGTTTAAATGTCAGTATGGGATTGATGCTTTCCTGGTGTGGGACTTGGCCTGGGGAGGGTATGTGGCTCTGACTGTGCCAGATGTGCGTGCCTTCAGCCCCCGACGGAGGCGGCCCTTCTGAAAGCGGCAGCCTCACCTCGGTTCCCTGCGCCCCGACGACGCTGAGAAAGGCGTTTGCGGGTGGGAGGTCAGTGCACAGGCTCCTGGGGCCCAGAGAGACCGTCTGTGGGGTCCGGACGGCTCTGGGAATGAGAGCGAAAGCGAACCTGACAGAGAGGATGGTACTGGCTTTGAGTGTGCATTTTTCTTAATTATGTTAATTAAGTCTTAAAAGGAAACTGTTCTAGGAATAGTCGCCCGAGGAGCCCAGATCCCGCTCCTCAAAAGGTGCGTCTCGCTGAACTGCTAGGACGCAGGCCCATTCCACGGGCCCTTCACCTCTTGTGTCTTATGTGAGGGTTTCTACAGGAGGGAGGGTATCCTGAGAGAAGAAAACCGAGCGGGAAGAGTCAGAGGGAAGGCCGCGGTGTCCTCTCTGTAACTCGGGGCCCCCTGAGGACAGCTTCCTTCGGGGGCTCCCCTGGCGTCTCCACCAGTCCTGACATCCCCAGGCCGCGTGGACGGGGCTCCGGCTCACCTGCTCCGCTGCCCCCAGGGAAGGCGGCGTGTGGAGCCCTGCCCCAGGGCTGCCCTCGGGGAGCACACAGCACTCCGCTTCCTCCCCGGGGACCCCGCGGACCCCCTGCAGCACTCTGTTCAGAATAGAAAAGGGCTGCTCTGGGCCGGAAACCTGCTCCCTGCGGCTGCACAGAGCGCAGAGCATTCCCTTCTCCGCTCCTTCCTTTATTAGTGGGGCCAGCAAACACCACCTCCGGTCCTCAGGGACCGGCCCTGGGCCCCAGTCACCCTCTTTCGCAGCTGAGTCTACGCTGGGGGCCGGTGCGGGGCAGAGAAGACCTGCATTTCAGGCCGAGAGCAGCGGCCTGGCTGCGCGCAGGGAAGCCCTCTCAGCCCGCAATCCCGAGGGACCGCGGACAGCCGCGCTCTGCGGCGCGGGGATTTGGCGCCGAGACCTGGGCCGGCTCTTGTCCGCCCTCCAGCGCTGGACTGTCCAGCCCTCACGCCGTCCCCCCCGCCCCTGCCCTGCACGCGGTCAGAAACACAAGCTCACGGAGACCTCAGGCGGCCTGACTGTGCCTCTTACCTCTTCCTATGCTGAAATTTCATTTCTTTCTTTTCTGTGTACAAAGCTCCCTTTGTAGTACAGTTATAGCTATCTGATTTGAAAACTATCATGATGTTCTGTTGTAAATATTAAAGTTAGTAAGTTTATTTTTATGTACGCCAAACACAGAGAGACTATAATCTTTTCCACGAAAATAGTCATAAGAATTTGTAGCCTCATACTTCGGTTTGAGGAGAGACAATTGGTTCTAAACCTGTTCTGAAGTTTCTGTTGATGAACTCATTTCTTCTCCACTGCTTGTTACTAAAATGTGAATATTGAATTTAAACTCTAATACAGTTCTCACTCTTTCTGCAGCACCTGAAATCCTTAGAGGCTGTGCCTATGGACCCGAGGTGGACATGTGGTCTGTGGGAATAATCACCTACATCTTGTAAGTGAATAGCATACCGTTTCCTTTTGCTATAGTATCTTCTAGTTACTTATGTGTGCATGTATGCTAAGTTGCTTCAGATGTGTCCAACTCTTTGCGATCCCGTGGACTGTAGCCTGCCAGGCTCCTCTCTCCATGGGATTCTCTAGGCAAGAATACTGGAGTGGGTTGCCATGCCCTCCTCCAGGGGATCTTTCCCACCCAGGGATCGAACTCACACCTCTTATGTCTCCTGCTTTGGCAGGCAGTTTCTTTACCACTAGCATTACCTGGGAAGCCCAATTACTTACAGTCCTCATAGAAAAAGCAAGATTCCTTTTAACTTTTTGTGGTTCTCTATGATGTACTAAAAGTAATTAATGAAAGAATTTTCAGAAAATGAGCATCATGTTTCATTTTGTAGTTTTCTTGGGGCAAGAACTTCTGTCTAGGGCTTGCTTCACTATGTCTCATTGTACTATGCAGTATATCGCAGACTTGGGGAACAATTCACTATTTGATGGTAGTAATGAGCATCACTGCAGATGGTGATTGCAGCCATGAAATTAAAGGACGCTTACTCCTTGGAAGGAAAGTTATGACCAACCTAGATAGCATATTAAAAAGCAGAGACATTACTTTGCCAACAAAGGTCCATCTGGTCAAGGATATGGTTTTTCCAGTGGTCATGTATGGATGTGAGAGTTGGACTGTGAAGAAAGCTGAGCGCCGAAGAATTGATGCTTTTGAACTGTGGTGTTGGAGAAGACTCTTGAGAGTCCCCTGGACTGCAAGGAGATCCAAACAGTCCATCCTAAAGGAAATCAGATCTGAGTGTTCATTGGATGGACTGATGTTGAAGCTGAAACGCCAATAATTTGGCCACCTGATGCAGAGAGCTGACTCATTGGAAAAGACCCTGATGATGGGAAAGATTGACGGCAGGAGGAGAAGGGGATGACAGGGGATGAGATGGTTGGATGGCATCATCGACTCAATGGACATGGGTTTGGGTAGACTGGGAGTTGGTGATGGAAAGGCAAGGCCTGGCGTGCTGCGGTTTCTTGGGGTCGCAAAGAGTCGGACATGACTGAGAGACTGAACTGAACTGACTGAACTGAATGAGCATGAAACCAATCCATCTATTAAACTTGCTCTTGTTTTACTTACATGTACATCATCCAAACAATAAGAGTATTATTCCTTTTTAAGGGACAAATGGTTCTTTAACCTCTGAAGCAATCCCAAACTGATGTATGTCTTATCAGGAATGTTTTAAAGGCATTTTGACTATCAGTTTTATTTCCTATATGTGTTAAGTTCTCAAGGACCTTTAGTATAATACCCTGAACTCAAGGAAAACTTCTCTCTGGTAGAAAAAAAAAAAGGCTAAATCTTTCACTCTCTGGTATCTCCAGCTCCATTTCTAAGCTCCTATCTACTAATAAAGAAGGGGCTTCAGTCTGCCAAAGAGATGACGGAATTGCAGACAAACATGAAGGAAATAGCCCAGCGTGACGGGAGAGTGTCCGGTGAGGAAGGTTGCCTGCAGAACCACTGCAAAAGCAGCACCTCAGTGAGCTCCAGAGCTTGAACTGCAGCAGGTGGATCTGGCGTCAGAGCCACTGCAGGGCTCACTGCTGCGCGTCTGCCGTGCGCACTCTGTTGTGTCCGGCTCTTTGTGACCCCATGGCCTGTAGCCCACCAGGCTCCTCTGTCTGTGGGATTCTCCAGGCAAGAACACTGGAGTGAGTTGCCCTTTCCTTCTCCGGGGGATCTTCCCAACCCAGGGATCGAACCCACATCTCTTGCGTCTCCTGCATTGACAGGTGGATTCTTTTTTTTTTTCCCCCTGGTTTTATTTATTCATTTATTTATTTTCCATTTATTTTTACTAGTTGGAGGCTAATTACTTTACAATACAGATGGATTCTTTACTACTGCACCACTTGGGAAGCCCAAGTTAATTGTTGGAACCTGTATTCTTCAAATCTGTAAAGAGATTTTGAAGGGTGTGAAAGAAGTGAATTAGGCAGCTCAGGCTTTATAACAAAACACAGAGACTGGGTGCTACAGAACTGCCAAAATGGAGTCTGGAGGTCAAAGGTGCTAGTAGCTCAGGCCCTGGTGAGAGTGGTCTCCCTGGCTGCAGACGGCTGCCTTCTCCCGTACCCTCCCGAGGCAGGAGCACGTCCTGTGGTCCCTCCTCTGTGAGAGCGCCGGCCACAGCACAGAGTCCCACCGCCCTGGCCTCATCCCCAGACGCTGTCACGCCGGGGCTTAGGGCCTCAGCGTCCTGACTGGGGAGAGCACAGCTCAGTCCGTACTAGGAAGGCGTTCCATTTGGTTAATTTAATTGTGATCCTAGAAAGTGCAGTGTCTAGGTAATATGGGCTAGGAAGAGGGTAACTAGGGTAGACTTCCAAGCAAGTTAGCAGACTCTTGATTTCACTGGGGTTTATATATTGGTCAGTAGAAACCATAAAAAGGTTTAACAAGCACACCCTAAAATAGTCATCTGCTGTTATGTAATGTCAAAAGATATTTTCAGTGATCACTTCCCTGTGTTTCCAGGATATATTTAAGCTTGAAAAGAACTTAGAGAGCTAGGGAACCATGTTTTTTCTTATGAAAGTGCAAACTTTTAGGTAATTTGTTTGCCACACTTAGTGCCTAATTCATTAGTAATGAATTCATAAAGTCACGTCATAGAATTCCTTCAGCTTACATTTAAGATCACTACTGTGCTATGGGAGAAGGTTGTCTCCTGAATTGTGTGGGTGACATATTATGCTTAGTGATGTTCAGTGAAAAACTGAACTACAAATATTGCTTCATATTTGCCACTAAAATGTAAACATACCCACCCAAGTAGAGTTTCTTACTGAAATGTGATGAAAGGGGTTGAAGAATTAACCATATGTAATAACTCAGAGAGATCAAGGTAGGAAGTTTAATAACATTTGCCCTGGAAACCTGAAATATGGAATGAGTGAAACTCCCATGTTACTAACACGGGAAAGTGAAGAGAAAAAAAAAATGTGACCGTTGGAGAAGCATCTTATAACCCTGAAAATAATTTTAAAAATCTATCAGGTTTCTTTCCCATCGTTCACTTAAGCCCATTAGTTGAAAGTTGCTGGCCGAGTAAGTGGTAGCAGCTAACAGTGCCACTCACAGCTAATGTCCTTTAGTTCTGTGTCTGACTTCTCTCAGCCCGTAAGCCTAGGGACTTTTTATTTCATCTGTAGTCCATTAATGATTGATGAAATGCACTAGGCAAGGCTCATTGGAACATTTTCTCCAGTGGATTATGCCATTGGGTTTATGTACCTCCTTTATTATTATTAAAAGTTCTACCCAGCTATTTTGTGCTATGACCGTGCTATTTCTAAGGATGACAGTAGCTTGGCCATTCTGTTTCTCAGAAGAATTCTGCTCCTTCTACCTACTAAACCGAAGGCCTTTATCCTTACAGACCAAAGCAACTGCTGTGGTTTTCAGGTCAGAATCAATAACATCAGAGATTCACACTCTCCCCTCCAGCCTTCAGCACTGCGCCTGCCCGGCGGCTCGGAGCCCCTGCTCACGCACCGCCTCGGCCTCGGGCCTCAGCTCCTGTGCGCCCGCCGCGTCCCGTCCTCACTGTGCCCGAGCGCTCGGCTGCTGCTCCGTGTCTGCTCCTCCCGGCTCCACCCTTCAGGCTAATGACCTAAACTGTTCGCTCTGTCGCGGTGCACAGGTTTGCTGACGTGTCCAGGATGACAGGAAGGCGTCTGAGTGCCGCACTTGCAGAGCTGCCATTTTTCCTTCTAGACGCCGGAAGAGGGAACGTGCGACTTTCCTCAACTAAGCCTGGGCGGCTGGCGGGTTTCCCGGGAGTCGCGGGCAGCGGCCGCGTCTGATGGAGGCCGGGCTGCAGGCGCCGCGTGCCGCGTGCCCCGCTCCTCTGCTGGAGCCGCGTCTCCCCGGGGGCCCCGCAGTGCTGGGGGCGCCTGATGGAGGCCGGGCTGCAGGCGCCGCGTGCCGCGTGCCCCGCTCCTCTGCTGGAGCCGCGTCTCCCCGGGGGCCCCGCAGTGCTGGGGGCGCCTGATGGAGGCCGGGCTGCAGGCGCCGCGTGCCGCGTGCCCCGCTCCTCTGCTGGAGCCGCGTCTCCCCGGGGGCCCCGCAGCGGCAGCGCCTGATGGAGGCCGGGCTGCAGGCGCCGCGTGCCCCGCTCCTCTGCTGGAGCCGCGTCTCCCCGGGGGCCCCGCAGCGGCCGCGCCTGATGGAGGCCGGGCTGCAGGCGCCGCGTGCCCCGCTCCTCTGCTGGAGCCGCGTCTCCCCGGGGGCCCCGCAGTGCTGGGGGCGCCCAGCCCGGCCTCAGTGCTCCCGAGCCTCGCCTTTACCCGGCTGGCTCTGCAGTATTTGAAAGATACCAGGAGTATCGAGCAGGATCCCTGAGCCAAAGAGCAGGAGAAACTGCTTCCTCTTCAACACCTGCCGGATCCGCTGGACTGTTTCACGCCCTGCCGCCGCCCGGCCAGTTTGATGCAAGGATTTGGGGAAATGTTTCTGTGTTCATTCTTTTTCCTTCATTCTTTGTCACGTGAAACACACGCCCTGGCAAGGACTTCTTCTTCTTTTTTTTTTTTTTTACAGTTCCCTTTTGGTCTTCAGTGATTTAGAACCTCCCCTCACCTGTAAGCACTAGAGGCTTAGTGGTCCCACCAGCAGCTCACTTTTCCTGTCTCTCTTTTTTATGCCAAGGGTGGTTCTGTTTCTTTTCTCCCACATTTTTATGTGACCGTGCTGGAAGGTGACGGTGGTCGTGGTGAGATGTCTGCGATGTGCAGAAGCGAGGCTCGCGTGCCTGGCCGCTATCCTCTGGGCTGCATCGCCTGCTGCAGTCAGTTCAGAAGGCCGTTCCCCGCCGCCGTGGAGGCTCCTGTCTGTGTTCACGCTGAGACCCAAACTGGAGTGGAATGGAAAGCCAGCACGTTTTTCATCTGTATGGAAGAATTCAGTGAAAAGGACTGAACAAAAACGACTAACAACTTTTCTTTGCACCTTTTGACCTTTTTATTCTCAAAATCTTTAACATCTTATGATAAATTGGAACTCCAATGTGTCCTCTCAATTCCTGGTGGAAAAAAACACGTGGAAATAGCACTATAGCATAATGCTGGTAATAGTGTTGGCCATTATAATATTATTGTTGTTTTGTATCATAATTATTGATATGATTATAACTTTTTGTAGAAATCTTAAATTGATTTTGCATCTATTTTTCTTGCCTGGAAAATCCCATGGACAGAGGAGCGTTGTAGGCTACAGTCCATGGGGTCACAAAGAGTTGGACACGACTGATTGACTTCATTTTCACTTTCACTTTTTCACTTTTACTTCTCTGAAGATTTGATTGTATATTTATATAATCATAAATGAATTGTAACAAGGCAGTTGCACACTTAAGCTTAGCAGAGGTACATTCATCACAGGAAGCTGTGAAAAAGGACAGTATTGAATTTCTGCCAAAAATTGGTGACATACACTTAGGCTTTTAAAGGCATTTTATCTTGTATCTTTTGTCCTTCTAGACTTTGTGGATTTGAACCATTCTACGATGAGAGAGGTGATCAATTCATGTTCAGGAGAATTCTGAATTGTGAATATTACTTCATCTCTCCCTGGTGGGATGAAGTATCTCTGAATGCCAAGGATTTGGTAAGTGTGACTGAAACAAAATGAAATAAAATCCCTTACATTGATTTTTAAAATTAATTTATGGGCAGTGCCATTTTAAAAGTTAATCTCTCTTAGTAGCTTATTTCTTATTTTCCTTATAATGAAAAAAGTTTGATTCATCTCTAGCTGAATTATCACAAATTACTGCTTATTAATTAATGAGTTTTTATCATCTAGTCAGTGTAATATAGAACCTGGAAGCTATGAAGCTATGCAGACAGCTGTGCTGGGTGACTCCAAATATAATATACCCAGATGAATTATTTTTTAAAATGGCTTGCTGTCACCTAGATTAGTTATACTTTGAATAAAGCAACGTTATTTCTTGAAATGTTCAAACTTATTAAAATATCCTGATGGTAACACAAGTCCTATCTCGCATGACTATCATAAATGAGTCACATTGTGCGTTTTGTTCGGTTTTTCGTTTGTTTCACTGACTTCTCACTTCTGGTAGTATTGGAGTTTATCTTTATTCAGGACGAGTGGGGCACTGGCCTATCCTCTGGGGCGCTGGCCCACTGGTTCTAAAATAAAGAAGATACTGGGGTGCCATTGAAGCTTTTACCATCAATTCTTTAGAGCTGTTGTCCTCAATCTTTTTGGCACCAGGGACCAACTTTATGGAAGACAATTTTTCCATGGACCGGGGGTAGAGAGGCTAGTTTCAAAATGATTCAAGCAGATCACATTTACTTTGCACTTTATTTCTAATCTAATACTGCCGCTGATAAGACAGGAAGTACCAGTCCCCGGGGCGGAGATTACGGACCCCTGTTCTAGAGAGAAACCACACAGAAATGATGAAAAACGGACTTCTGAATCATAGAAGATTAGATCTCCAAGGATCTCAGGACTCATTTAATCTTTCCTGAATTTTAAGGATGAGTTTGCTCAAGCGCAGAGAAGTGATGCACAGTTTCCCAGCAGAAAGGCCTTGCTCTGCTCCAAAGGAAGGATCCAGATTTCTGGACCCCTTCTCCAGGGCTCTTTTCCCTCCTTACCATCTGTGTGCTGTGAAGAGGTCATGACATTTCCAGCAGGGTCTGAAGAGAGGCAGCCTGTGTGATGCGGAGATGTCGCCACCTCCCCCCATCGCGCCCCCTCTCCTGAGCGTCTCCGTGTCCGCCTGTCTGTTCGCTCCACCGAGAGGCCCCCGGCCAAGCCCCCGCCCTCCTCCCAGATCCTGGCCGCGGCCTCTCACCTGCTCTCCCTGCCTCTTGCCTCGCGTCTTCAGTGCGCGCTCTGCGCGGGACCCAGGGGGCGGCCTCACTTGGCACTGGGGTCCCCTCCGCTCCGCGGCTCACGGCGCCCCGGCCCACGTTCCTCGGCGCGCGGACCCCCGTCCTGGCGGCGTGACTCTGGGTGCTCTGTGCTGTGCCTTCATCCTCCCTGCTCATTCCTCTCCAGCACACACACACACACACACAGACACACACACAGACACACACAGACACACACACACAGCCCTCTTTACATGGGTAGCGCATCTTTTTTAGTGTGTTTCAGTCGAAGGATAACGCTTCGCAGTGCTGGCGCTTTCTGCCGTGCGGCCCGCGGATCCGCTGGGCGCGCGTCCCTCCCTCGTGAACCCCCCGCCCCTGGGTCTTGGAGCCCTGGCTGCCGCTTGGCCTCTGAGGAGACCTGGGCTTCGGGGGCGCGCCGTTCTCCTCACAGTCGGTTCATGCCTTCTGCCGCTTGATCCTCCGGCCCAGGCTTCCTTTCTCATGATGAGCATCATTTCTATGTGATGTGCTCAGAGGTGTTCCTTAACGAGGTTCAGGCTCTGGCAGAGGATGAAGCAGGTGGGCCCAGATCTTAGTGCCATGTGGACATGAAGTGCAGGCTCAGTAAATGTTCCTTGAATGAAACCATCAGTCAGGAAATGGACCAAGGATTCTTAGAAGTCCGACATGCCTGGGTTCAATCCCCCCACCCCTCCTAATAGTTGCAGCTCTGACTTGGTGCTGACCTAACCCTTCTGTGCTTTGGTTTTCTTCTCTGGATGGTACTGTACCTGTCCTTAGGTCTTTGGGAGAATTAAGGGATGTGATACATACTAAGTAACCGTTAGTGATGGTTACTAACGCAATGATACTCCCATTAGTTAGCTCCCCTTCTGTTTCTTTTTATCTCTGATAAAAAGTTAAATAGATAAGAGGGTTAGCTGTGATGTTCATTCAGCTATACCTCCTGTTGGTTAAAGCATTTACATAACTTCAGAACTAAAGGAATCTTTGAGCCCCTAAATAAAATACTTATTAGCAAAACCTGCATCTGTTCTGTCATGGTGCATAGGGAGCTGGTCTGTAAGCAGAGCTGTAGGAAAATGGCGCATCTTTGGGTCTGAATCCTGATGAGGTCACTGAGTCTCTCTGATCTTCAACAAGTTTCTTAAAAACTCAGTGCATCAATGTCTCCAAATGTCAAGATGAAAGATGACATACAAATTTTTGGTGTAGATTGGCTTTCCATAAATTCTTTGTATTTTCAAGTAGAAGAGAATGGTGATGATGGGGAAGAGGAAACAGATGATTACAAAATCCTTACAAAATTGTCAAGGATGTTTTAAGGATTAGGTAACACTTACATGAAATTATTAGTGTATGTATCCAACAGATGACAGCTCTGACCACCATCAAATCTGTTACTGCTGTGCATTCTGCTTCCTAATTATTCTTCATCTCCCTCCACCTCTTCGCTGACTTTAAGCCTAAACAGTCTCAAGATTGTTCCCTTTTCAGATGCAGTGTCTCTATCCCACATATATTTCTTTGCAAATACTACAAAACAGAAAGTGAAAGGAGACCAGATATTCATTCTTCATTTGACTAGCTTCCTAATTTTGTTAGCCTGTGTTCAGTTTTTGGATTTTTGAGTTAGAAAAGATATTATGCCTTAAGTCATCCAAAGTCCCTCATTTTACTCACCAGCAGACTGAAACTCAGAAAGCTTGTCTACCTTGAAGGCAATGTGGTGTCATGGCCACAGGACAAATTCTAAGACAAGACAAACCCTAGTATGAGTATAGCCCCCACCAGTTACATGAGGTTTTACGTTACACGAATCACTAAATCTTTGAGCTTCCTTCCATCCCTCACTCATGCATTGGAGCTAAAGTTACTAGTTGATAAGGATATGGATAGGATTACGTTATTTTTTTTTAAATGTTGCATGCCTGTAAGAATGTATTTACAAGGAAATTAGGGTGGAAATTAGGTCGTGTAAGAAGAGGGCCCAGGAGGGTCCATAGTCACTAAGTAGGGGTGGGTGGGTGTCTGAGGTCGGACACATGCGGGCCTCTGAGGTCGCAGAAGCAGAGGCTTTGGACAAGTTGGCGCTGAAGCACGCCTCCTGACCTCAGGTAGTCTCTGCCTCACCCCAGGCCACCCCTCTGAGCCCAGGGCCCAGAGGGCTATTTTGGTGCTTGAGCTCCCTGGCAATTCATTGTCTGCTCATGCTCACCATCAGGGGTAAACCTCCAGAATGGGCTACAGTTCATTTAATTCAGTCCTTTTTAAACAAACCATACCCCCAAACCACTGACACCTCTTCTTTGATTCTAAGTAGGCTTTTACCCCAGCTCTTGGCATAGTCCTTCAAGTATCCTCAACATATATAAGAGGCTTATGAAAGCTTCCTGATGGGAAGATCAAATTGCCAACATCCGATGGATCATCAAAAAACAAGAGAGTTCCAAAAAAACATCTATTTCTGCTTTATTGACTATGCCAAAGCCTTTGACTGTGTGGATCACAATAAACTGTGGAAAATTCCGAAAGAGATGGGAATACCAGACCACTTGACCCGCCTCTTGAGAAATCTGTATACAGGTCAGGAAGCAACAGTTAGAACTGGACATGGAACAACAGACTGGTTCCAAATAGGAAAAGGAGTACGTCAAGGCTGAATATTGTCACCATGCTTATTTAACTAATATGCAGAGTACATCATGAGAAACACTGGGCTGGATGAAGCACAAGTTGGAATCAAGATTGCCGGGACAAATATCAATAACCTCAGATATTTGACAGATGATAGATGATACCACCCTTATGGCAGAAAGTGAAGAACTAAAGAGCCTCTTGATGAAAGTGAAAGAGGAGAGTGAAAAAGTTGGCTTAAAGCTGAACATTCACACAACTAAGATCATGGCATCTGGTCCCATCACTTCATGTCAAATAGATGGGGAAACAGTGGAAACAGTGTCAGAGTTTATTTTTGGAGGCTACAAAATCACTGCAGATGGTGACTGCAACTAAGAAATTAAAAGACGCTTACTCCTTGGAAGAAAAGTTACGACCAACTTAGACAGCATATTAAAAAGCAGAGACATTTCTTTGCCAACAAATGTCCGTCTAGTCAAGGTTATGGTTTTTCCAGTGGTCATGTATGGATGTGAGAGTTGGACTATAAAGAAAGCTGAGCACTGAAGAATTGACGCTTTTGAACGGTGTGGTGTTGGAGAAGACTCTTGAGAGTCGCTTGGACTGCGAGGAAATCCAGCCAGTCCATCCTAAAGATCAGTCCTGAATATTCATTGGAAGGACTGATGCTGAAGCTCAAACTCCAATACTTTGGCCACTTGATGCGAAGAGCCAACTCATTGGAAAAGACCCTGATGCTGGGAAAGATTGAAGGCGGGAGGAGAAGGAGATGACAGAAGATGAGATGGTTGGATGGCATCACCCACTCAGTGGACATGGGTTTGAGTACACTTGGTGATGGACAGGGAGGCCTGGCCTGCTGCAGTCCACGGGGTCGCAGAGTCAGACAAGACTGAACGACTGAACTGAACTGATCCTCAAGGGCTTAGAGAACACTGTGAACTCCATGATAGGACTGCGGTGTGATCATAAAGGCTGTGACCCTGCCCCCTCTTGTTTGCCCTTCTATCCCCACAGAAGGAATGACGACTACATGAATGATCCATCTCCCCTGAGATGTAGTTTAAGTTCTGAATTCTAAGTAATATGAAGTTGCAACCTAGAATTATCCAGATGCTGGTTCCCACTCAACGTACTTGCAGTTCACAGGCAAGGCAAGCCTGTTTCTCTGATCTGTGGGCATCTGCCTGCCAGTTTGGGCTCTCGGTTCACACACACCACCCTCTTTTCAGACTCCTCAGCTACTGCTGCCTGATGCCATCCCCACAGTGACCCCTGGGGGCTTAAAAAGGTTGTTTAAATGTATATTTAGTGCACTGCCAAGGAGATAGGATAATAACGTATATTTAGTGTATTGCCAAGAAAATTAAATAAGACCTAGAAGTTCACAGCTGAGGGGCAAGCCCAGGTAACCATGAAAATCTCCCTAAGAAGTCAATGGTTCTTTATCATTTCAGGTCAGAAAATTAATTGTACTGGATCCTAAGAAAAGGCTGACTACCTTTCAAGCTCTCCAGCACCCATGGGTCACGGGTAAAGCAGCCAATTTTGTACACATGGATACGGCTCAAAAGAAGCTTCAAGAATTCAATGCCCGGCGCAAGCTCAAGGTTAGATGGCATTTATTTTGTTCTATTTTTTAAAAAAGATTCTCTCATATCTTGCTAATCAAAGATAATTCTGCTATTGTCTGTCTAATACTGCTATTCGTCTGCTGTGGTACCTGGCAAAATGCTGCTTTGAAATCCCAACAGTGATGATATAAAGGCAACCACAGTTCTGTTATCCTCTTGTAAGAATTCAGTGTGGGTTTTATTTTTCTGTTTGGGGAATTTTGGGGGAGAAAATGGCACTAGGCAGCTTTTGAGACTCTTAGTGAAGCACTGAGTCCTACCACTGACCACCAGGGAGTTCCCAGGATTTATTGTCAATAAAGGGAAATGTGTGGGATGTTGAGATTCACTCACCAAATAATACATTGTCATTGCTTCCCATTTAATTAAGGCTGAACTGCTTGAAAATGTTGTTCAGGAAACTAATATTTATTAAGAGAGTTGTCTTCTTTCTGATATGCAAAAATTGGGAAACAATTTTTTCCAACTATATTTTATAATATAGGCAAATAATTATACTTGGTAAAAATTAAAATAATTCAATTGATAGGAAAATTATCCATCAAATTGTAGCTCTTTTTATAGAACATATATGGAATAGAGATGAAGTGTTTTTCTCCTACATAGTAGTATTTATGACTAGCTATACATATAGGAGGGCTTCCCTGATAGCTCAGTTGGTAAAGAATCCACCTGCAATGTGGGAGACCTGGGTTTGATCCCTGGGTTGGGAAGATCCCCTGGAGAAGGGAGTGTTCTGTTCTGGCCTGAAGAATTCCCTGGACTGTGTAGTCCATGGGGTCCCAAAGACTCAGACAGAACTGAGTGACTTTCACTGAGATTGATACATATAGGAAATCTCAGAGGACAGCTGGGGATGAAAAATAGTGTTCTATTCAGTAGTCGCTTACAGGTTGATACAAACTAAATAAACCTGAAGGGTTCATGATCAAATTAATTTGAAATGCTCTAGGTTAAATACCCTTGACTTAACCCAGAATTTCTGAAACAAATTTGACCGTGGAACTCTCTTAATAGTACCTATCAACATCCATGGAACTCGTGTCCCACACTTTGGGAAACACAACTAAAATTTTTGAGTATTGGCAATCTGTGGGAAAGTGCATTTATTTAGGCTTTCATCCAGATGACTAAATACACTAATCTGAGATTAAACAGATTTTGCTGTTCATTCTTCAAAGAAGTTTTCATTAGACAATCTTGGAATCATACACTTTCCAAGAGTAAATAGTAACAGAATAACACTCCCTAAATGCAAAATTGAGATCAAGCTCTGATTTGGGATTTTCAGTGGAAGTAGCACTGACCTCTCTGTCTCCCCAGGCGGCGGTCAAGGCCGTGGTGGCCTCCTCCAGGCTCGGCAGCGCCAGCAGCAGCCACAGCAGTGTCCAGGAGGGCCGGGCTAGCCGGGAGCCGTCTCCACCTCAGGCCGGCGACGAGGGCGTCCCGGGGGGCGAGGGGCCCCCGGGGGCAGCTGAGGGGGCCGGGGCGGAGCTACCGGAGGTGCAGGCGGGGGAGGAGGTCAGCGGTGATGATGGAGACCTGGCGGCCCCCGGGATGGAGCCCACGGCATGGGAGGAGGAGATGGAGGGGGCCGGCCTGGAGACGGAGGGGTGCCCGGCCGGGGAGACGCGGGTGACCGCTGGAGCTGCAGCAGCCCCTGGAGGACGAGAGGAGGACCCTGCCCTGGAGGTCGGAGCTCAGCAGGGTGACGCGGTCCTGCCGGAGGACTAGTGGCTTTCTTCCTATGTGGGAGCCAAATCCGGGCACTTTGTGCGTTTTGTCCTTCAGCAAGGAAGGTGGAAGCATGATGTGCACTATAGTGTGATTCTGTTTCTGAGGTGAAAAAAATACATATGTATCAGTTGGTAATCCTAACTTCAATGCATGTGACTGCTTTATGAAAAAATAGTGTCTCCTATGGTATGTAATGGATATCAGATACTGATGAATTAAATTTGAAATTGCAGGTAAACACAACATATAAAAACATACATTTTCAGGGACCAGTAGTGCACATTTGAGGTAAATACTAACAAATTGTTTTTGCTTTGAAAACCTGGCCATCCTCCACCCTTTGGATTTCTTCAGAAGGTAATTCCTTTGGACTGTTGCTCACCTAATACTAGGTAGAGCTATAAGATGTATTCCCATGACATTTACAGTATCTTCAGTAATGTGTTCAAACTGTTTACAAGAAGATGGTTAGGTTATAGTTGTATCGTGCGTGCAAAAAAATTGCATATATACCACTTATAATGGTAAGAAACTGAAGCATATTTTAAGGGCTGTGAAACCATATGCCCGTAAACCTTGTGTGGAGAATGCTTTTTTATCTTGTCTTTATTTATATACACCATATTACTAATAACCCAAAATGTTCTATCACAAAATTCTGCCATTTTATAGTCCTGGAAAAAAGTCTTTTACAAACTCATGCTGAGGAATTTATTCTCACCTTCACCTGCTCTCTAATAAGAAGTCCTTATGATGGACAGCACTTAGAAGTGGGAAAAAGAAACTTAGTGAAAAAAGAAAAACTGGACTTAGACTGTGAAGACTGACTTTGCCACTTCAAATAAAATTGAATTTATTCATGAGCTTGTACAGTTTTAAAAATAGGAACATTTTTATGGATAAATTCTATACTAACCAAGGTTCTAAATTTATAAAAAAATCTATACGAATGGCTGGTGCAAAAATGTCTGAATAGAGTGAGAGCAATATCCCATTGTAAGATCATTCATTATTTAATTCACTATAGTAAGGAAGGGGCTTCCCCAGTGGCCCAGCGGTAAAGAATCAGCCTGCGATGCAGGAGATGCGGGTTCGATCGCTGGGTCAGGAAGATTCCCTGGAGGAGGAAATGGCAACCCACTCCAGTATTCTTGCCTGGAAAATCACATGGGCAGAGGAGCCTGGTGGGCTACAATCCATGGGGTCGCAAGGGATCGGATACAATTGAGCATGCACACACATAGTAAGGAAACATTTTTGTTTATAAAAGTTCTTTTTTCCTTCAACTGATGGTTCTTTAGATATATTGCTTATGGGCTAAAGATATTTCTAAAAAGCTAGTATACTTTTTTCTCATGCTTGGAATGGAAGCACTCATAATTCACAATGTAGTTTTGAAAGTTTCCATGTTGAAAAATTTAGGACAATGCAACTTTTCATTTAGTTTAATAAACAAAAACAAAGGGAAAAAATAAACTTTGATTTAAAATCAGACTCTTGAGAAGCTGTAACATTAGACCTAATACTTCACCATGATTTTTTTCAAAATATTTTTCTTTGGTTTTCATATAAACACTTTTTACTTATAAAAACTCACAGTTAAATTCCAAACATCTCAGATTTATCTCTAGTTTGAGCTTAAATGGACATTTTAATCAACTTAGTTATATAGCATATTTTAGTAGGTTTCCTTAATTAAAAAAAATTATTTTCAGGCCAAAATTTTGGACAATAAAAATGACTATCAGATAAAAATCCTCATCAAAAAGACAGATCTTAAATTCTTTTAGTGCTTCCTCAGAACTATTAAGTTGGAAAATTAAACCTCTGGATTCTGGGGACTGTCAGACCTTGTAGACGTTCTACTTTCCAAGTGCAGGTCTTAACTTCACTACTGTTCTCATGAGGAAAATAAAGTAGCACTTCTTGTCGTCCCTAATGTAAGGGCCTGACGGGTCACTGACATGGAGGAGAAGGCCCGCAAGGCACACAGCGTATGAGCATCTGAGAAAGAGTGCTTTTGTTTTTTATGTTTATTGACTAGTAGAGACTGTTTATCTTCTTTACTGTCTCTTTCCTTCTTTATTCTCTCAGTTTCCATTTTAGGTATTATAAGAGGCTGACTAGTTTTAACCTTTTAAGAATGCCTTATTCCCTAAGCATTAAGATTTCCATTTTAATGGCTGAGTAATATTCCATTGTGTATATGTACCACAGCTCTCTTATCCCTGTGTCCTTTCCCGAGGAGACTTCCTGTGAAGTCTCTCTACCTGGTTAGGTGATAGATGGCAAGTGCCCCGTATATTTGGAAAAGGGAAGAAGAGAGGGAAGGGAATCTTATTGGAGTAGAGCATACAGTCGGATGAAGACACAGGGTCCCCCCAAACCACGTCCCTGCCCCCCCAGCCCCTGCATCACCCCAGCCCTCACCCCAGCGGGGCTGCCTGCGGGGGTCGCACCTGGGGACCGTGTTGTGAAGAGCGCTGCAGATCCAGGGGGCCAGCGTGCGTTTAAGAATTTCCCAGTTACACCAGCGCACACGCCCGCTCCCTGATGAGTGAGGGTGTGAGTGTAATTTCCTCTTTTTAACCTGAAGATTGCATTCTCTCAAAATCAGAGGGAGTTTTAGATTTTGATTTGAATGTTAAAAATTAAGACCTGATAATGCCTAAATGACTGAGAGTCATTTCAGTGGAAAACAAGCTTTCACAAAAATCTATCATTTCATCCAAATGATTCAACCTGAGATTTCATAGAGATGCTATTTAAATTACCATAGTTAACATTTTTGAAAGAACAATACACATTTATATTCCCTGTTAAAATGGGATATATTATCTCTCTCAAAGAGTACTTAGCTAAATAATAGTAGGCTAATGCAGATAGAACCTTAATTTGATGAATTATTTTGTAATGTTTCCTTTATTTGACGATATAGTCACAAAGCAAAATAATCAAGGGAATTTCAGCAAACAATAAACTACATTTTGCATTTTAGAACTGACAGTTATTATATTGCATTATTGATTTTTGTTCTCAAATAAGTTCAGATACATAGCATAAACCAGACTATTTTGCCACAGAGAAGGACAGTCTTGAATTATTTTCCCCATTAACAAAGTCTAATTGGAATCCCAGTGGTTTTTTTTTTCTCAAACCAGAAGAGCACATTTGTCCCACAAATACATAAGGTAGAAATTAGAATGACACTGTTATAGACGTTATTGTCTAGAAAAAGTCCCGCCTGATATGAATGATACAAGCCACATATGTAATTTTAACTTTTCTCTTAGACACATTTTTAAAAGTAAAAAAAAAAAAGCTGATAAAATTAACTGTATATTTTAATATATCCAAACTATTATTCTAATATATAATCAGTATGAAAAACTAACACAATGTTTTAAATTTTTTATTTTTGTATTGAGTTTTGAAAAGTGGGATGTGTTAGCATTTTGGTGCATCAAGTGACCAGCAGCCACCTGTGAGCAGCGGCTGCTCGTCTGGAAGAGCGCAGGGCCGGAGCACTGTGAGAGCAAAAGGACACGCGGATGTCTGCGCGTGGGCCTGAGCTGCCTGTTTTCCACACTGATCAGTTGGCAGGAGGCCAAAAAGAAAATGTTTCAGAAATGTCATGGACTTAAGTGAGTACAACCTCTGTTGGCCACGTCTGTTCCATCAGGTGCTTCAGAGGAGGCATGTCTCCCAGCGTGACTTTAGAGAGCAGTGCTTTCCTGCGCGTCAGTAAGTTGTCCGTCGGCCACAGCTCCTCTCATCCCTCTTTGGGCCCCGGAATCTGGACCACAGGCCAGAGTCTCGGACAGCCATGAATCCAGTCATGTTCTCACAAACCCAAATCTGCGGTGGGCGAACAGGTTTCCTCATTCAAGAAGGGCTGCACATAGAACCTCAGTGGGATTTTGTAGGCTTCTGAAACACAGATTTACATGATAAAGACTGATGAAGATGACATCATCCCCGCTATCCCTAAAATGAGACTATGACCATCGGCTGACAGTTTTTAGATTTCTTTAGAAGGATTTAATCAACACTGCCATTACACATGGATTCAAAAGACTTTTGGAATTTTCTTAAATATTGCTATGTTACAATAATCCTCAAGGTTCTATAGCCACTTTTAGTGGCAGATGTTAAAAGGAACAGTTTGCCTTTTACTGTGACCTCAATTACATAGTATTTTAACCATATTTTGTAATTTAGAATGTTTAGCAATCCCTATTTTTCTGGTTTCACATGCAGGGTAACTGCTTTTGGATTGCCCATAGGCTAAAGATTTAAAGAAAGTAATTTTGCTTTTGTTTCATAATTCAGTTATTTCACAGAAGCATCTGGTTGCATTTCAAATTGCAAAATAAAAGAAGTAAATGTCAAAAAGACAAAAGATAAAATCAGTAAAGCATTCTGTTTTAGGATTGTCTTTGCAAAGCAAATACAAAAAGTCAAAAAAGTGAATAAGCATTAGGTTTTCCCTGATGAGGCATACTCCACATAAATTGACATAAGTATACTAAGCAGAGTCAATTACATAATTACAATGCCATTATGTAATTTACTTGTCATTGCAGAGTATTCTGTCTGGTTACCAAGGTCTGCTTTAGCTGGTGCAAAATTGCCAGACATTTACTTGTATAATAGGATTTGTAATATCCTTGTAATTGCTTCCTGTTTGGTCACATTCAAATTTCCTCAGTGTTGATCACTGACATGTTTCTGATCAGGGTCATTGCTAACGTTTTGAGTGTTTATTGGTTAAAAATTGCTTACTGGTTAGACCTTCAGCATTTTTTAAAACATTTGTGCACATATAATCTCAATATTGGTATTATAATACTCATAACCACATGATAAGCAGAAATGTAGCCAATAATTTTCTACAACTTTTTTTGTTCAAAGTTCTTCTCTTCTTCCCCTGGCACAACTCAGGGTGAGTTTCTGGCTTCTTGACAAATAGAAAACGAACCTAAAATATCACTGGAGTGATATCAGCTATCCACCCATGTTAACCTAGTTCAGCATTTCTTCTTTCTGTATCCGGATCTTTTAAAGGCCAGTTTTTGTCATTATTACTTTCAAATATCATCTGAGATCAGATAATATAGTCTCAGCTCATAAAGCCCATCCATTTATATACTTATCTTGGAGAGCAATAACAAACTTGACTAATTTTTGTTTGCTTGTTCAAAATTCTAATTTTCACACACTCTGTGGTGTGCTCTAAAAGGTTTGATTGCATGATTTTAACTTCCAGATCCAGTCTTTTCTTTGTCACCTGACCCAGAGGTCCACCTAGGACAAGACAGAAGTGTTGCCATGAGAACAGACCATCTGAGTTCTTGGCAGGAAAAAGCATTGCTCTAGCAAAGACTCCGGGCATCTGACTTGATTGAGTTCAAATGAGCCAAATGGGAGAAAGCCTCTTCCAGTGATACTGCTTGAATGTTGGTACAGTGCCATAGTCTGTAATGGACAATGGAATCTCACCAATCATCTGCTCTTCTCAAGACTTGGTTTGCTACCACTTGTCCCAGATCAATGTTTTGTTCCATCCCTATGGCCATCAAGCTGCCTTTCAAAACTAAATCTTCTAAAATCCTAGAAAGTATCCCAGACTGGCTGAAGGAATGTGGAGCCCTTGGTGGCCAGAATTTAGTTTGAAACTCCAAATAGCAATTCTAAGACTGCAAAATCATGTTTGTCTTCTTAAATAATTGTTTTCAGCACATTTTGAAAAATGACCTGGAATGCCCATGGACATGGAATATTTATATCTGTGTTATCTTTACTGTGATTCACTTTGTTAAAAATGGCATGCATAATCTTCATCAGATTATATAATAATATTTATTTTCCATTTAAAAATTATTTTGAGTTATGCAAATACAGTAGGCTTCATATTTGAATTTTTGAGAGCCGTTGTTTTCCCTAAGCACTCTGACAATCAGAGTGCGGATGATGAAAATTTACTAGGTTTGTCCTTTCCTTGTACTTCGCTTGATACAGGTATGGTAGTTAATCTGGTTTGTAATGGATACAAGTAAGAAGGACTTTAATGTGACAACTGTCACCTCATAACTGCCTCTTTTTAACTTACTTTATAGCCTATCATGCAGCTAATATATAGTAGAATGCAAATAGCATATTCATGAGTTAAGATTTTGTTTCCATTTTCTGTCAAGATTGTTATTACTTTCAAAGTTCCCAAAATGTTTATACTCATGCACCCTTTTAAGCAAACTCCAGGAGATGGTGAAGGACAGGGAAGCCTGGCATGCTTCAGTCCACAGGGTGGCAAAGAGTTGGACACGACTGAGCGACTGAACAGCAACAACCCCTAATTTCAGTAATATTTTCAAGGCCACCCAGCAAGAATCGCCAACACGCCCCTTTATTAACTAGTCAGGTCCAAACAATGTAGTAGGCGTGCATTCCATGTCTGACTGACGTCACTCCGCCATCCTGAACATTTAAACATGTCCTGCATGTTTCCTGGGGGCTTCCCTGGGGCCTCAGACAGTAAGACTCCGCCTGCGATGCAGGAGACCCGGGTTCAGTCCCTGGGTCAGGAAGGTCCTCTGGAGGAGGGCATGGCAGCCCACTCCAGTGTTCCTGCCTGGAGAATCCCACGGACAGAGGAGCCTGGCGGCTGCAGTCCAGGGAGTCTCAGAGTTGGATCAGGCTGAGGGACGAACACCACCTGACCTGAGTTTGCTGAGTGGGGTCAGCAGACAGGTGACAGGGGGTTAACTCCTTATGTTCAGTGAAATGTGGGTCTCATGCAAAGAGGATTCTTAGGAGAAAAGTTAGAGGCCAGTACTCTTTTCTTTTTTTTTAAAAAATTTGAATGCCATCATTTTGTTATCTGTGGTCTTTGTGATACACACATAAAACTTAGATGTGCATTAAAAAAAAAATTTCCACATAATTACACAAGGAAATAAAAATCTCCAAAGATCAGCTTTCCAAGAGTCAGGCAAACTATGGGTCATGGACCAAATATACCAGAGGCCCATTTATTTATAAATAAAGTTTTATTAGAACACAACCATGCTCACTTAGCTATAGTTTGGCTGTAGCTGCTTTCACACTGCTAGGACACACTGGAGTGGTTCCCACAGAGACTGTGTGGAAAGCCTCATCTGGCCCTTTGCAGAAAACACTGATGACCCTGGCTTTTCACAGCACCCTACCTTTTTGGTAGCAGCTAGGAACAGTTTCCCGTGCTCCAGACTTCTTCTTAGCATATGGTTCTTCATCCCATTTGCTTTTTAGGAAGTTAGGACAGGTCTCTTTCTGTGGAGAACAATAATTCTGTGAATAATTATTCACAGCAGTAATTTTGCTGGAAGTACGGCTTAGTAAACTTTCCCTACAGAACTAAAATTCAAAAAGGCATCATTCCTGAAAAAGTTTACAGTATGAATTGACTTGGTTATAATTCAGTATTGACTTGCTTATCTGTAGCTCAGGAAGCAGGCAAACAGCTAACTTTTTACTTTACAATCCCTGTGTTTTTCTGAATGTCGTCATATACTTCATTTCTTCAAAAAGAGAAGGCTTTGAGCAAATGCTTTCCCTTCTTTTTCTTACTTATTTAGAAATCCAAGAGGGCCCCTTTCCTTAATCTATTTATGTCACAGAAAAACTGTTCATTTCACCTGCCTTAAGGGAAGCAGGGGGCCCAGACACTGAGGATGTAGGTACATATGACCTTTGTGTTTGATTCTGAGTATCTCTAGCCGAAAGGTTACAGATGAGATATTGAGTAGAAGACCTATTATCAACTTCTTATTAGGAATACCTAAAATTATATCATGACTTTAAATAACATACTGTTTTGTTTAAACTTGCAGCAATCAATATGCTGCAGCCACTGGGATACACTGTAGAACTCGGGAAAAAGAGACGAGCTGTCTGCTGGCTCCTGGCAACTGATGTGAGCAGGACTGAGCCTTTCCTGGAGTGGAGAGGGGAGGTAACCTGAGACCAGCTCCACACTCCCACCACCCGTTCTCCTCGACTGCCCAGGGTTTGAAGGCAGTTAGTCAATTAAGCTTATCATTTTTACCTCTCTCTCAATATCTGGGTCACCAGATTCCCTTAGAAATGAACAAATCAAAGTCAATAGGTAATTTTCCTCCCAGAATAATGTTAAACACTGTGTTTAGGGAGAATCAGGCCTCCATCACAAATACACTTTAATGAAATGATTTAGTGGTTGTGAAGCTTTCTAGGAGCAGACCATGCCTGGAACCCATTTCCTCAATAAACTTTCCATGAAAAGCAATTAAGTACCATGAAAGAGTCAGAGTTGAATTAAACCCACACTCCCCTCTAGGAGTGAGCTTTGTAGTTGAAAAAGCAACTGTATCTATAACCTGTGCTCAACCCAGGCAGGCAGTGAAAGCTCCCTTTGCTTAGAATGATCAAAGAAAGCTTCCTGGGAACATCATCTAAACATGAGGAATGAGGGGAAGCTTTGTAGGCAGGGAAGAGGAAGAATATTTGGCTGAGAAATGTACCGAGTCGAGAAATGTGGTGAACAGTGCTGGGTATGAAAGGCTGAATCTGCAGGGAAGCGCTGCTCAGTGTGTGTAAGCCTAAATCATGCGCAAAGCTGAATCAGACAGGCTTCCTCTCCGCTTTCTTACTCTGGGTAGATACCTGGGCAGCCTTCCCTCAGCATCTAGCCTTCTCTGATCTACATACCTGGCTGACTCGGTGCACCCCAAGCAGAAGAAAAATCACCCAACACATAGAGACATTTTTGCAAGTCACCAGTTGAAACAAAGCCTCAGTCACTTAAAGCACAAACTGCATTGGCGAGGTCGCCTCTGACAAAGCAGAATAAAGGATGACAGTGATTGAGTAAATTTGGCAAAACTCCAGTACCTGAATAACTCCCTGTGACTCTACAACGTAACCTAACCACTTGCTAAAGCTTTGTCAACAGAGGCCTATGTCAAAGTTACTGCTTTTGTAGCTATTTTAACCTTTTAAATTATCTCATCTAAAAAAAAAAAAAAAATCTGACCTGAAAGGGCAAGTCCTGCGAGATCTGAGATAGAATTATAACTGGGAGTTTAGACTTCAAAAGATAACCTGTGCTAACCCTCAGACAACGGAATTTAAACCCCTCAGAGCTGCTTTCCCCAAACTCCAAGCTGGTCCTGTGAAGGCCTGTCTTCTCCCTCCCTCTGTTTCGCCCCTTAATACACCCTTCTGTAATTTCCTTTTTACTCATTGCAGGCAGTGTTTTACGTCCATCTTCAGGAAACTTTAAAAGGAAATAGGTAACAGTATATATACATTTAGGCATCTTGCCACTTTGCTTGTTTCAGATGACATCTGTGGTTAGTAAATGCCTTATGTTTCTCACGGCAAATGAAGGAAGGGACAAAGGCTGATGGTCATCGGAGTGATGGAAGGGAAGCTAAGACAGACGCTGTGGGGACACAACCCCAGTGCACAGGCATTTGAGAAAGGAATACGTCCTAGGAAGGTTTCCAGACTTAGGGGGCATTGTCTATATGCCTTCTCTGTTTTTTGTTTTTTTTTGGGGGCGGGGGGAGCGGTCTGTATCACGTTACTGTTGAAAGTATTCTGGACTAAAGACCTAAGCAGCTCACAGCAGTGTGGAGGCTCAGGTGAAAGGATGGGATACCACTGTAGACAGGAATCCTGCATCTGTAGTTTAGACCGCAAGCCATGAGCCAAAACGGGTCCTTTGAAGGACAAAGAACAAGTGTCAAGATTTCAGTTTTCACAGCCGAGACTGTCTGCCTTCCCAATTTCTGATTGAAAGTGCCGGAAGGAGAGCTGACAACATTTCATTTTTAAAACCTGTCAAAACGGTGCTATCAATCCTTAATACAAAGATCCATTACGGTGTTTTTAGGTAAACGTGTAAGCTTGCCCTGGCCGTAAGTGTAAATATAGAGAATGTCTGTAGAGAATTCATCGGAGTCCCACACGTGTGCCTTTGACCGAGCTGTGTGACGTTCTCAGTGGCCGAGACGGCGGGGCGCCCGGCTCCGCAGACCCAGAGCCCAGCCTCGGCGCCCAGCCCGTGGACGCGGGGGGCGCGGCCGGCCGCCTCGCGGACTCAGGCCGGACGACGCACGCAGTGCAGCGGTTCAAAGGCTCATCGCCTGGTGCTTCCGGGAGGGTAACGGAGCGTGTGGCACGAGCGAATGGATGTCGGGAGACCAACTGTCGGAATGACCTTAGCGGGGCCTGCGTTATTTTGTGTAAGCTCGCTCAGGTGTGTCAGAGCATGCCAAAAGCAGCATGTACCTACTGCTGGGAAACGTGTCAAGCAGTTTGCATGTACAGTATGATAATAAACCATCAAAGAGCCCACCAATACTTCGTATTCTGTGGTTTGAAATGTTAGCACAATTCAAGACTGGCGCAGTGGACATTTCCTCGTATCTGAAGTTCCTTGAGTGTTTTTCCCTTCTCTCAGATAAAATTATACCCTGGGTTTCACAGCATTTTTAATATTATATAATGATGTCATAAAACCATAAAGTTAAAAGAGGATCTTTGTACTCATTTAACCCAACCGGCTCAATTTATTAAAGAGAAGTAACAGCCAGAGAGAAATGACTTGTCGATGATCACAGTTAGTGGCAGAGATCTGGGCCGCCCACCTCCTAGTCCAGCATTCTCACAACTGAAAAGTCAGTTCACCAAAGTCAAGGCAGAAATTCATGTAAAAATTGATTTTAATTATAAAAAACGGAAAATACAGAAAACTACAAAATTACCACAAGAATTCTTTCAAAGACAAGCATTGTCTTTTTTATCTAGCATTAGTTCTTACAGCCTTTATCATATTGCAACTGTTTTGTATCAACCTATATCACTATAGCACAGGCTTCCCAGGTGGCTTAGTGGTAAACAATCCACCTGCCAAGCAGGAGAACCTCGGTTCCATCCCTGGCTTGGGAAGATCCCCTGGGGAAGGGAAAGGCTACCTACTCCAATATTCTTGCTGGGAAATCCCATGGACAGAGGAACCTGGCAGGCTATGGGATTGCAAAAGGGTTGGACACAACTTAGTGATAAAACAACCACTACTAAAGAAAGCATTTTTTGCATAATCTTCACAGACATTTATGACAGTTGTGTAATAATCCAGTCTCAATTATTTTTTTCTCAGTAACATTACAGAAAGCTTTTCTGAGTTTGGGGAAATCTATCCTAAGGAAATAATCCTAATGTCGAATTGTCAGGCCAAATGAGACACAGTGGTCCCTTCATGATGATTCTTTCAAACCTACAGGACCTGAGAATGAAAGGGAAAATACTTTATTTTCACTCTTAAGACACTGATTGTTAGCAACAAGAGTTGTAAAAAGATCTGAAAGTTTTTCTTGAGCTTGGCTATCCAATCAGTTAGCAAACATTTGTGTAAAATATTTGAGGGGAAGGCGTACTATTTCAGTGAGGTTCCCTCTTAGAATTGCAGCTTGCTACCAACTACTACTAGGTCCAAAATCCTCACCTAAACAACAACTTCTTAATTTAGGGAAATGCTAGAGGAAAAAACCGTCTGCAAGCCCATTTTTGACAATAAGAAACATCTTTTTTATTTCAACCTGTTTTGCACAATCTCTGGACTACTTCCTTTAATAAAAAATCAGCTGCTTGTACTTAAGGTATGTGACTAAAGCAAAACCTAAGTAGAAAGGTAAAGCTCCTGGTAAAGAAAATACCATCTAAACAATGAGTAAAAAGCCCATGTGGTGTTTGTACACTACGCGTCTTCCATATTTTCTTTCAGCAGAATACTACACCCCACTAATCACCTGTCCAGCTAAGACTAGTGACATGGACCACCCTCCATCTCCAAGGACAGGTTTGCAGTTCATGTTTTCCAGCAATTTTCTGTCTCCTGGTATGGAAGTCGGCATCCATGAGGGACCCTTTGCTCCAAGAAGTGGAAATGATGTAATAGAAATAAAGGTCATTCACATTGGATTCCATGTGACATAAACCATTAACAGCAACCTACTGAAGAAGCTCCATCACCTCATTACCTGAGTTAAGGATGCTGTGTAGCATCTGCCATATGGAAGGTGTCCAGTGAATGTTTCATGAGAGTGAATGCCTACTTGGGAATTTTCATTTCTCCTTTGTGTCTATCACTTTCCCATTACGTTCAAAGGAACTTGATACAATTCCCAGAGGTGGCCCGTGGAGATGCTGTCTGGCCAGAGTCACTACCAACACTCCCTCCAAGAGACTGGAAGTCCTCGCCTTCCCAGCTAGGGGCAGCCACCCGA